CTTTTAATCCTTCCTTCCTTCATTCTTTCCTAGCTTCCTTCCTTCCTTCCTTCCTTCCTTCCTTCCTTCCTTCCTTCCTTCCTTCCTTCCTAGCTTCCTTCCTTCCTTCCTTCAGCAGAGGATTCTGGGAGTTTGGCTCAGTTGAAGGTCGTGTGTAGGTCGTCCTCTGATCTGATCTGGTGTTTGTGCTTCCAGCTGCCAGCATGGCTGAGGACGGAGCTCTGAAGGTCAACGACCACCTGCAGGTCCAAGGCTTCTCCAACGTCTACGCTGTGGGCGACTGCGCCGACCTGCAGGAGCCAAAGCTGGCGTACCACGCCGGGCTCCACGCCTCCGTCGCCGTTGGCAACATCCTGAACAGCCTGAGCGGGAAGCCGCTGAGCACGTACAGCACAGGTAGAAGCCGAGCTGAAGGTGAGCTGGAGGCAGCGTGAAGCTGCAGGGCTGATGGTTCTGACCTCCTCCCTCCTCAGGAAGCGTCACCATGCTGCTGGCGATGGGGCGGGACGACGGCGTGGGCCAGTTCAACGGCTTCAGGCTGCCGCGCTGGATGGTCGCTCTGGGGAAGAGTCGGGACCTGCTGCTGTGGAAGAGCTGGAGGGAGATGCAGCAGAAGCAGCCATGATGAGGAAGAGGAGGAGGAAGGTTCCTATCCAACCGTCGCTCTGTCTGACCTCTGACCTTTAAGGTGGAACCAATCCGAAAGAGCCTGAAGGCAAAGCTCTGTTGTACCGTCTGACCCAGAGGGTTCTAGCTGAGGAGGTTCTGTCGGTTCCTTCTAGAACCGACAGAACCTCTAAAGCGTCAGACGGCGCCCCCTGGCTGCTGCACCGCAGACACTACTTAACCTGAAAGTTCTGGTTCTGATCCAGCTTTTTCTGCTCTGTTTGCACATGTAGCCCTGATGCCTAAACAGAACCGGCCTTTTTCTATTTTAGAATCACTGTAAGATTTTTAATGAATAAACAAAAACGAGTCTAAAACGAGTCCATGTTCTGATTATTCTGAGGACGGTCCAAAGCGACTCGGAACGTCCGATCGAAGGTCATCACCTCCAGCCGGACCTTTAGAACCTGCTGATCCTCCTCTGAACATCTGTCCACTGATTGGTCGATGCTTTGTTCTTTACCGGAGCCAACCAATCAGTGAAACCTCCAGTTTAATTCTATTCCGTTTATTTCTATAGCTCCAATTCACATCATGTCATCTCAGGTCACTTTCCAGTTCACCAGATCATCC